TTTTCTCGTCCTTTCAGGTTCTTGCTCTTTACTCTTCTTTCGCATATTTGATTCTTTTAGTAATCCCTGCGGCTGCCGCATACAAGGTAATTTTTGATAACTTGATAACTTTCTTTGAGGCCACCTTTTATGTCTAGTTATCTTTGTCATTCTTTCATAAATGCATTATGTAGCATGAACTTTGAACATTCTCAGGTATTCTTCGGTTTGATACTACCCTGGATCACAGCTCCCACAGGGGAAGGTAATGAAGAGATGGATGACAAGAAATTGAGAAAACGTGAACGTCGAGAGAAGATTGTCTATCGAAGATGATTCCAGTCAGCAATGCAGCTTATTTCGTCCTATCAGTTTGTGACGCTTGTTCTAGTTGTTTGGGTTAGGTAATTTTTTTCGTATAGCAAGGTTGGTGGAGTATCATGTTTGTCGCTGCCTGTTCAAATCTAAAGATTCTATTTATTTGTTAGGAACAAGTGATCGTGTTGTCTTTGTTGCATAAATGTTGTACACTGTGTGAACAACCATCAAATGAAATAGTGTTTGGGTCAACCCCCAATATTCACACATTGTAATGGAATTTTCTGTGTGATATTATTCCACTGTGGTTTCCAGATGAATAGCTTGGTTGGGCTAGCCCACTTAGCTACAGGGCAGAACAATGAGCAAAACAATTTTGACAATCAAAATAAGTACGTGGAGGAAGGCGTCGTTGCTGTATGTCGTATGCTCCTTAATAAAGAGAAAGAAATGAGTCCGTCACGTCGCAGCTCGGCATATGCACGCTTGGTGATTGAGGTAATTGATGCCTTCTTAGGATGGTGTTAGAGTCCGCGTCAGTCGCGCGATCCACGCGAATCGCAAAAATTGCAAGTGCCTATTTGAACATTTGAAACACTGAATATGAAACAAGTAGAATCATGAACAGTCGTCATTCAGCCATCACCATCAAGCAGAAATGGCGGATTGGAGAGCACCTTGCAGTATTGATCGGGCACTTGTGATTTCTCTGATCGGAAATCGCGCGGCGGTTCGCGGACTCTGACACCAGTCTTTGGCGAGGAGGGGAACCCTTTTTCTGCAGTTTTCACGCATCTGTTCACTTCTATTACCCATGCGCTCCGATACAACCATAGTATAAAAAAGGAGTATTGTTCAGAAATTGTTTCAAAACAAATCAATAGATTTGTGTGGAATTATGCCACCGAATGGAGGACCGCAAGTGGCCCAACATCCCTATCATGTTGTTCATGAGGTCATCCACAGCAGATCTTCGTTTTTTGAGGTATTTTTGTTTGATTACTTTTGACCTTCCTTTTGACTTTTCATTCAGTTGGAAGTATCAAAGGCGCAAGAAGAGTATGGAGTGTGGCTGTAGGATGTGCGGGTAAGGGAGTTATATGTCGCGCTTATCCCCTATCAGCCCGTTCTGTGACAAAGTTTTTGTGGATAGGATTGCTTTTAAAGCTACATTGAAAGATAGTTCACGGTATTAAAAGATTGAACAGGCAATTATGGGCTTGAATCACAGATTATAGAGATTGCTATTAGATCTGATGTTATACCCCTGTGACATGTTTTGTAGAGCTATCATATTTTAGACCATCCTAGAGGCTGACGACGGGCTTTCTAATGAGCTGTGGTTTGCGATTTGTCAGCAGGCAGACATGAGCCTTCAGGTATTATATACTTTTACTTCAAAAATGGCTTATTATTTATCAATCAAATTTTAGCCAACAACTCAATCTGCTGATAGCGTGCTTATGCAGACCGTATCATTTTATGTAACGCGACTTTTGCCCACGGAGCACAATGTACCAAGTGTTGGCCGTGCTCCTTTGGTCAGTGAAATTGGTCATCGAAAGCATACTCCACTGGATCTCTTCCTGCCAACGTCTCCGGTATTGAACTCGATAAACTAGGTACATACATGGTCATACGTTCATTTCCATAGTCTGAAGAGCCTGCTGTGATTCTCATTACTTTTTTCAGCATTTCTTGTTTAAAGATATATACGAAACGTTACTACTGTACGTGGTAGTGTTGCTTAGAATCGCAGGAGTTCTTTTCGTCTTCGCTCCACCCACGACACTTGACTATATTTTGTAATTTCGTTAGCATCCTCTGCTCTACGAGTGATTTTCCATCAGCTAATAGATTGATGATATTGAGGTATTCATTTTGTTAAGTCTCCTTTACATTCTAATTAAGATAAAAGCTGATTTATGGGTATCCAAAATGTAAATGTTAGATATGCTTCTTAACAGTTCGCATGTCTTTGCTCTATGACGTGACTGCCAAGCTATGACTGATGTACAGGGCTCCTATCACTAGTATTTCAAAATTCTGCTGCTATATTTTGGATAGAGCGCTTCTCTTCTATAATTACCTATTCTCTTTCAGAGTTCTCTCCACTGTCGCCCACCGTTCTCTTCTCATCTTTATACGTTCCTCTATACTTTTCTTGAACAGTGTCCTACTGCGTTCATATTCAAAGATCTTGTTCGTAAGTTTTTGTTGTTTGAACTATTTCCATGCTTTTGCTTATGCACTGTTTCGTTTCTTTGCTTGACAGGGCTATGCCAGCCGGCGCTTTTTTTGGGCTTTCTTTCCGGCTTGCTAGTCCAAGCTTTTTCTTTCCAATCTTAGAGTGAAGTTAGTAAGCGATAGGCGACAGACTTTTTTCTGTGTCGTCTGTCTTTTGCTCCCTGGTTGCGCACCCTCACGACGGTGTCCGTCATATATTGCATGTTGAGCAAAAATTGCCCTCAAAAATTATTGGCCGATGTCAGACTTTGCGATTGAGCGATTGTGCACAAATTGCAGGAGCGATGGATCGCTTGAGCGATCCATCGCTGCGAGCGACGGGAGATTTACATGGCCGACCAACGGTAATTCCGCGCCATCAGCTCGTAAACCTCGTGCTCGGACCGTGATAAGTGCCTTGGCCGTTGTGGCAGGGAGCTGCGAGCGACGGGAGATTTACGAGCTGATGGCGCCGAATTATCGTTGGTCGGCCGTGTAAATCTCCCGTCGCTCGCAGCGATGGATCGCTCAAGCGATCCGTCGCTCCTGCAATTTGTGCACAATCGCTCCAATCGCAAAGTCTGACATCGGCCATTCTTACGTAGATTTATCGCTGGTATAGCTAGGTTGTAATCAGAGTAATGATGTATTCAGAATGTTGGATGACGTTTTGCCGTCCTTGGCGATACGCGGACGCGTTAATGACCCTTTCTAATGCGGACTTCTTGAGAGGTCCATGGATGCCGTTCATACGGGTTCATGAGAAGTTCTATAGAATTCTGCTCGGCAAAATATTACGAAGGTTAGTAACTCATCTTGTACATTGCTAAATCGGCAGCTAAGAGTAGCAGCGGACATTTTTAATTAAAGAGTAGCAATGTTCGACCTGACTGCAGAAAGTGTTAAAGTTATCCGCACCGCTGTGGAATTCTCGTGGAAGGAGCCAATGGTATCGATGCTTAGGTTAGTTGACTTCTTTGACAAATACTCAATACTAAGGAATTAAATATGTTTTTAGGGAGTTGGGCGTCAATTCTCGACCCCATACGCGACAGCTTTTAGAGACAGTTGTTGCGAATTTACGACCAATGAAAATCGCGGTCACTTATACACAACAGGCGGTAATTGCTTCAGGTGGCGATAATTAGTCCTTATTGTAACTTTGGTCACGTTTCAGCAGAAGCAATCTCTGTGGGATATCATATTTGGAGCACCTGAGCCACCATCCGTTCGCGAGCAATGCGAAGTCATCGAGTGCGTAGAGGGAATACTTTCTGAAGCTGACGCAAACATGGGTACTCATTTTATTGCTGAGGTAACTCCCCCGAATGCCGATAATGCAAGGTACGATCTTCCAGTTTCTTATTGATAATTTGGCAATGATGCCTCAGCTTTTGTTTTGCAGTACTCTATCGAACCGTACACCTCAACTGTCGGAAACTCCAAAGCGAGCACCTCCTCGGCTACTTCCCGATCATGTCAGGGATCCCGTCACAGGACTTATGTATCTTACCGAGCTCGGA